GCGGCGGACGTGCCGGGTGCGGGCTGTGCCGCGTCCTCCCTCTCTGGGAGCAAACGGGGCAGCCCCGCGGGTGGTGGGACCTCGCAGCAGATCCAGCTGAGATACAGCAACGGGCTGAACCCGTCAGACCCGTTCGGGGAGAGCCAGAGTTGGGAACACTCTGGCCCCGAGCCCTCCATGTTGGGGAGCCTCCAGGAGCGGGGTGTGGGACAGGGATCCCCGGGATCCCCTGCCCGGGCTGTTTGGCATCTGCTGGCTCAGGCGGGTGGAATGAGCCACCACCAGGACTGGAGAGGCCTGGGGTGACCCCCAGTGTGACCCCCAGGATGGGGGAGCGAGGGGATGGCCGGGGCGGTGGGTTCTGGTGGCTCATGGAGGGTCAGGGCTGGGCAGGAGGAGCTGAGATGGGGCTGTCCCATCACAGGCAAGAGCAAGAGCAAGATCAAGAGCAAGACTATCCCCAGCTCCCTGGCTGGGAGGGCTGTGCCGGAGGCCCCAGCAGTGGGAAGAGAGTGGGGCAGACCTGCCCCACGGCCGGGGAGGGAGGGAGGACACCCTGCTCACCTCCTGGAAGCGGCTCTTGACGACCGTGACCCAGGACTTGATGGTGACGATGGAGTCGGGGTGGCAGGTGGCGAGGATCTCCTCCCCCAGTGAGGTGATGCACTCCAGCTCCAGCTGCTGGCACTGCAGGGACTTCATCAGCTCCTGGGTGGGCACAGGGACCCTGGTAGCACCGGCCCCCAGCCCCCCGCACCCCACGGCACCCCCCAATGCCCCCCAGTGCCGCATCCACCAGCCAAGTGGAGCAGGCATGGACATCTTCACATGGGGTGCTTGGGACCCCAAACCTCCATGCCTCAGGGTGCCTGGGCCCGTAAGCCCTGTGTCTTGATGTGATGGGACCCCACACCCCACGTCTCGGTGGGGTGCACCCCACAGCCTGGCCAGGGCTGGATGACCCTGGCAATGGGACGTCCTGGGGCAAGGATGGAGCCACCCTGGAGATGGGGACTGGTGGGGGATAATGGGGGATGGTGGGGGCTAACAGGGATGAGGGATGGTGGGGGCTAATGGGGACTGGCTGGGGCTAATGAAGGCTGGTTGGAGCTGGCACTGACCTGCAGCTGGTCCTGGCACTCCTGCACGGCCGGCTCCTCCTCGGGGAAGCCGCCGTACTTGAGGGCTTTCTCAGACTCGGAGAGGCGGCCCAGGAAGGAGTGCACCAGGCTGTGGAACTCCTCCGCCGGCTCCTCCTCGGGGAAGCCGCCGTACTTGAGGGCTTTCTCAGACTCGGAGAGGCGGCCCAGGAAGGAGTGCACCAGGCTGTGGAACTCCTCCGCCTGCACCACGGACGGGGACCCGCTCAGCCCCCCCCCGCTGGCCACGAGCCCCCCCGCTCACACCCTGAGCCCCCCGGCAGACCCCAAGCCCTGCAGCAGCCCGGCGCTGGGCAAGTGCTGTGCAGCTCCGGGCCACCACGGGAGCACTGCTGCCAGCCCAGCTCAAGCCCCAGGGTAGGACAGAGGATGCTCCTCACCCCACCTCGGGGGACAGTCTCCTCTGACCCCCACCATCACCTCCCCATGGAGCGGGGCACCCCACATGGCACCCCACAACACCCAGCCCCTGGCACCCTGCACAGGGCACACCTACGCCCCAGCACCCAGCCTGGCAACCGGCCACCGCACCTTGCCACACGGCCACCCAGCGCCCTGGGACACGTGCCCACACACAGCACCCGGCCACCCCACAGCGCGGCCACCCCACGGAGCACCCCACAGCGCGGCCACCCCACAGAGCACCCCACAGCGCAGCCACCCCACGGAGCACCCCAGAGTGCAGCCACCCACCACCCAGACACCCCATGGAACACCCCACAGTGTGGCCACCCACCAGCGTGGCCACCCCACACCCCTGCACAGCCTTCCCACCAGGACCCACCAGCTGCGGATCCCAAAATTTCCATCCAGGGAGTCCCTGGGCTGGCTGCTGGCCCCTGCCCCCCCCCCGGCCCTGGCTCTCACCTGCCGCAGCGCGTCCTCCAGCCGGGCCTGCTTGGAGAGGGAGAGCTTGCAGACCAGGTCCCAGCGGGCGCTCAGCTCCTCCATCTGCTTCTGCAGCCACTGGGAGTCCACGCTGCTGCTGCCGCGCGTCAGGTCCCGCACCGAGCGCTTCAGCATCTTGATGCAGCTGGCCCGCTTGCCCAGCTCCTTCTGGAACACCTGGGGAGGGGGCAAGGGGGTGGGCGACACCGTTACTGTGCAGGGACCCCGTGTGCCCCAGCCCCCCCGGCAGCAGGGGGGTACTCGGGGCACCCAGCACTGCCCCAAGGACTGGGGTAAAAAGCGGGGGCTGCTCTGGTGGGCAAAGCCCATCCTGTGCCTGGTGTTCACAGAATCACCCAAGGGTTTGGGTGGGAAGGGATCTTAAAGCCCAGTCTTAAAGTGCCACCCCCTGCCCTGGGCAGGGACACCTCCCACCAGCCCAGGTTGCTCCAAGCCCCCTGCAACCTGCCCTTGAACCCCTCCAGGGATGGGGCAGCCACAGCTTCTCTGGCCAACCTGGGCCAGGCTCTCACCACCCTCACAGCAAAGGGCTGGAGTGGGCAGGGCTGGGCAGAGCCCGGGGCTCCCCAGGGACCCCCACACATGTCTGGGGACACCCACCTTGTGCTTGTCCATGAGGTCACTGACCAGGTCCCGGTCCCCTCCGACGGGCACGTCCTCGCTGAGCTGTGGCTCAGCCCGGTACAGCCAGTCCATGAGGGCCTGCAGCGCGTCCGTGAACTTGCCCGAGAAGAGCAGGTTCTCCTCCAGCTTGTGCTGCCTGCAGGGAAGGGCACAGGCCGTGCCAGCGGCTCCTGGGGGACGGGCTCAGCCCCACTGTACGGGGAATGGCTGCCCCACAGAGAGCCCAGCACGGCTGGGGAGGGAGCCCAGGTGCCCCCCAGGGCCAGAGCCCAGGGGAGTGGGGCAGGGGGTCCTGGGGCAGGGAGCAGGATGCCCAGGGAGGAAGGACAATGCCATGCCCCCCACCTGGGACCTGCATGGCAAGCAGAGGACAGGCATCCCATCCCACCCACCCCATCATATCCCATGCCATCCTGTGCCATCCCACACCACACCATTCCCCATCCTCATCTCCATCCTCATCCTCCACCCCACCCCATCCCATCCCCATCCCATCCCATCCTCACCCCCATCCTCATCCCACCCCACCCCACCCGTGCCCCCCACCTCTCCGCAGCCCGGCCGCACAGCCCGTCCCAGCGCTCCTTCAGCTCCCCCAGCAGCTCCTCCAGCGGCTGCAGGTCCTCGGGGAGCCGGGCTCTCTCCCGCAGCGCCCGCCCGCTCCGCAGCGTGGCCTCGTACACCGGCCGCTTGGACCGCAGCACCTTCTGGAAAGCCTGCGGGCAGAGGGGGTGAGCCCTCTGAGACCCCTGGACCTGGGTGCTGGACCCAGGCAGGGGGGCTGTGGGGAGACCCCTCCCTCCCTCAGTGCGGGGGGCAGCTGAGGTGATGATGCCCCTCAGCTGGGGGCTCCCTACTCTGCAGAGACTGCCCTGGGAGGACATCGGACCACCAAGGTGCTGGGCACATCATGGAATCGTGGAATGATTCAGGTTGGAAGGGACCTTTCATCTCCTGGAGTCCCACCACGGACCCAGCACTGACCAACCCACCACTGACCCGTGTCCCTCAGCACCACGTCTGCCCGGCTTTTCAATCCCTCCAGGGATGGTGACTCCACCACTGCCCTGGGCAGCCTCTGCCAAGGCTTCACAGCCCTTTCCAGGAAGGAATTTTCCCCACTCTCCATCCCAACCCTCCCCTGGCCCAACTTGGGGCCGTTTCCTCTTGTTCCTTGGGAGAAGAGACCGACCCCCCCTGGCTGCCCCCTCCTTTCAGGGAGCTGTAGAGAGCCATGGGGTCTCCCCTCAGCCCCCTTTTCTCCAGACCAAAGGCTCTGCTGTCCCTGCTGGGCGCTGGGGACCCCTCCCCTGCCACCCCACAGCCCCCAGCTCTGCTCCCCACATCTCCATGGGGCCAGGCAGCAGGACTGTCCCCCCTCACCTTGTGCTCAGCCAGCTGGCACTTGATCTCCTCCTGGCTGGTGGCAGTGTCCTGTGGCACCTCCAGGCTCTGCTCCACCTCGTCCATCCAGTCCAGGAGCAGCCGCCGGGACTCGCTGAACTAAAAGGGAGGGGGTGATGGTTGGGGAGGGGTCCCTGGGAGGGGGTGATGTTTGAGGGGGGGTCCTTGCGTGCAAAGATGGGGCCGGAGTGACACAGAGGATGGGCCGCAGCAGCCACCCCCCAGCACGGTGGCACCACCACAGCTCGAACCACGGTCCCCGTGCTGGAGCCGCGTGTCCC